GGTACAGTCATGGATGTAGAATAAAGTGTGTGTACGGGACAGATACAGTCGTGGATGTTGTTTATAAGGCACAGGTACAGTCATGGATGTAGAATAAAGTGTCTGAACTGCACAGGTACAGTCATGGATGTTGTTTACAAGGCACAGATACAGTCATGGATGTAGAATAAAGTGTGTGTACTGGACAGATACAGTCGTGGATGTTGTTTATAAGGCACAGGTACAGTCATGGATGTAGAATAAAGTGTCTGAACTGCACAGGTACAGTCATGGATGTTGTTTATAAGGCACAGGTACAGTCATGGATGTAGAATAAAGTGTGTGTACTGGACAGATACAGTCGTGGATGTTGTTTATAAGGCACAGGTACAGTCATGGATGTAGAATAAAGTGTGTGTACTGGTGTGTACTGGACAGATACAGTCGTGGATGTTGTCAATGAGGCACAGGTACAGTCATGGTGTAAAATTTCTAGAGTTGTCAGGACAGGTACAGTTGTGGATGTTGCATCCCAAGACATTCTTTACGATTTTCTTTGAGCTGAACACAATAAAGGTGCTATTGACGCTATTCATCGATATTCCCTACAGACTGATTCCAGGCAATTGATTGCAGAATCTTAGAGAGGCGGATCTCATACAAATATTTACTTATAGAAATATTTTCTTCGGATGTTATCGATAATTATAGCATTAATTTCCTTTAATATGATCAACTATTTTAATACCATACCCTGCATATTTCAGGTATCACACCACGGTTATCGACCTGTCAAGATGTTGTTCCATGCATATAGAATTAATTTTTATTTCTTTTGAGAATTTTTTTTTGGGGGGGGGGGGGTCTTCCAGCCTATTTTTACAACTTTGATTCCTGTGCCTAGTAAATTTTATGTACTTTGTAAATAAATAAAAGTTTTTTGTCAGGAACTTTTCTTTTTCAGGACATAGGAGGCTCCTTTCTGGGGTGCACTTGAGATGTTTATATATAACACGTTGAAAACGGGTGGTTCAGCCCATTCCACTCATATATATCGTAAGACATATTTATGAAAAAAAAACCCTGTGTTTTTCATTGACACCACTTGCGTGATCAATGAAATGGGTGAAATTAATAATATTGTGACGTACTTATACTTTCTAACATAAAATTAAGGATTACAAATTAATTCCAATATTTATTTTAATTTCCTTTTTTATTTTACTTTGTTTATTGTTTACTCGTATATTTTCTATAATTATACTAGCATGTTTCATTTTAAATTCATCATTATTATTAAGCACGTAGGATATTGAAATAACGCCCCCAGCCCCCCCCCCCCCTCCAAAAAAAATAAAGACCTGGCTCATATTGTTCTCTGAACATAAAGCTTTAAATTTAAAATCTGTAAAAGTTTTGGACCCTTCCCAAATCACTGCTGACATCGTTTGTCTCGGTATCACTGTCATGGGTAATATAAATTTTTTGTCGTGGATGTTATTAATCAAACGCGGGTTGAGTCAGTGGTAGTGTGTATGTACGGCACAGGTACAGTCGCAGATGGTGTATATCAGGCACAGGTATACAGTCATAGATATACAAAATTTAGGCATAGTCAAATTTACATATATTTTTCCGCGATATATTCACTAAGCTAGTTATCGTTACCGTTTTGGCGATTACAGCCTTCCATAAAGTAGATTTATTTAAAATCAGAAATTTTCTCTCCTCCATATTAATACAGTTCGTATTTTTCATTAAAAAACAATCCATACTTAATTAACAACATATAGTTTAATACGTTGAACAATCCGGAAAAATCTTGCTCTGACATTCCGCTTTTGATATTAGTGAGCAGGTACAGTCATGGATGTCCGGTACATGTACCAGCACTGCCGAGTACAGTTGCGGATGTTAGCTGACAGACCCCACTCCATTTTTGACTGAATCGCATGCATGAACAAATACATGAATAAATTATACAATAAATAAAAAGACAGTGCTTCAAAATTCTTAAAATCTTTTAATTCAACAGAAAACGCAGTCAAAAATTATAATTATTTATCCCATGTTTACCCCTTTATCCCGTGGATACTTTTTTTCATAACCCACAGTTAAGTGCAGTTGTGACGTCACAATGGTTTTTGCGTTAGCGTGATGAAGTAAAATAAAGTGGAGTCCTATATAAACACATCTTCGCTAGCCAAGGCTTTCCGATCCGAAATCTACTCTGTAGATTTCGGATCGGAAACCCTTGGCTAGCGAAGATGATATAAACAGTGTAAAACATTGGTTGTGAAGTATTAAACATGGGATAAAAAGAATCTCCCATGATTTGTAGTTGGATATGATTTTTATCCAACAAGTTGTGTGTTTTCTATCCCTTGGCCTTGGTGACTACGTATACATATCCAACTACAAATCATGGGAGATCCTATATATAATATATAAATTTTAATAAAGATAGAGAAAATGACGTCTCAAAATTTATGACGGCGTCAGGGACATACAGGGTGTCCCAGAATATTATACAATCATAGCCTTTTGATGAGGTTATTCCTTAGATATATAGACCTTAAAGAAAACATATCGACCGAGCACGAAGTGCAAGGTTGGTATGCTTTCTCTAAGGTCTATATATATAGGGATTGTTCCTAATCAAAAGGCTACAATTGTTTTATTATTTTTTTTCATCAGTTAATAAGAAATGTCTTAAAATCTATGTTCTTTCTCATATAAGGCATTGTTATGTCATTCGCATTATGACGTCACAGTAACAAATAGCAGCTGCAGTATCTGTTTTTAGAAACATCCAGTTTATAAATACTATTGTGACGTCAGCACTATTTTATTAGTTATCCAGGTCCAGTCAAGGGTGTACGGGGATTTACCCCCGGTTCTATTCCATACACCCTAAGGCCGAAGGGTGTATGGAATACAATCCGGGGTAAATCCCCGTATACTCTTGATTGGACCTGGATAACGAATTTATTTCCTATGTATCCAAATAAATTCTTTGTAAACAAGTCAAATCAACTGTGTTTCAAGCTATCGATAAGATTTAGTACGTCCTACAATATGCATCTAGACGTCATGTTATTTGCTTTTTATCATAGAGAAACTATGCATTGTGACGTCACGTTTTCTAACCCCCGGCTCAAGTCGGGTGTACGGAAATTTACACCCCGCTCGGCACACCTCGGCCGATTCGTACCTCATCAAACCTCGAGGTTTGATGAAGGTGACGGAATCAGCCGAGGTTTGCCGAATGATTTACACCCGACCTTGTAACCAATCAAAGCTCGTGTTACAAACTACGTAGGAAATAATATACTTGATCATGTGATCTAGTTTGAGCCAATCAGATAAGCTGGCAACAATAGAGAAAAATAATAGATGATACTATTTCATGATTATGTAAAACATAATGAAAATTGAATTATAACAAATGTATTTTAAACATTGCATATACTGTCCAATTTTATTCACACAAATTGACGCACATTAAAAGGAAAACGACAGTTTGAGTTCAATTTGAAAAATGTTACGGTTTTTAAATGATGTCCTCTTAATGCATTACACAAAATTCCTTAATTAATGTAGTTATACAGGCCCGTAGGAAGCAATTTCAATTTTGGGGACACAGCCATACATTTTCAGTTGAGGGGGCACTTTCAACTACCAAAAGTTCCTTGACAAGCAAAAAAAAAAGTCATCAGACGTTTTTTTATTGAGGGGCAGCATATAGTAGCTATGTTTTCTATAGTAATCTATATATCGACAAAATTATGGGGGGGGGGGCACGCTCCCCCTGGTTCCTACGGCCATGTTATATTCTGGATTTTCATCGGAAGTATACTTTTTAAATACTTTCAAGATTAAGGTTTGAGTTTAGTAACAATAACCTAAGACTGGGTTTGATAATTCATTTTTGGATGTTCAGAATGTAAAAAATGACGTTACAAACAGCGAGGAGTTTCCCAAAAGTGACGAAGTTAATGTAGTGAGAGTTAGAGGGTTAGGTGAAAGCTATAAAATTTCTAATTTTAGCCATAAAATTTCTTTATTTAGCCGCCATAAAAATTCTTAATTTATTTTTTTGTCCCTAAAATTCGCATTAATTTTTTGTCAAAGAGTGCTAGACAATTTTTATTTGCAAATCTTATCTATTGATCTGTGCAAAACGGAGAAGGTATTGCATGAATCTATAAGCTTGTATACCGACACGATGAAAATTTGGGGGAGGGGGTGTTTTGGTAAATACTACCCCATATGACGTACATGCATTAATAGCGAGCGCCACTCGCGAAGCGAGCTCAATAGACCAACGTGTAAGAACAGAGGAAATTCGGAATGACATATACGTCAGGCAAATTTCAGTGTGAAACCTTCCCAGAATTCCCTCACTACCAGGATTCCATGCGATAATGGCGATGAAAATAATATAAAATATAAAAGGCCTGCAGTTTCCCGAGAGCTTAAAATTAACAAAAAAATAATTGCATTTACTCTACAATGTATTTCATTAAAATTTGCACTAGGCCTGTAGTCTCGTTCAACCAGACGCTCGGCTGTCTCCGTGAATTCCGACGTCATATGACGTCACAGTCTAGACTGTGTCTCGTGCGGTTTGGAAGTTTGAAGAGGCGGATCAAAGTTTACAAGTGTAATTGGATGGTATAACTGCGCTCGCCCCAACGGTCACACCGTAAAACATATTAGTAGGTTATCATCAGCTATAAGTACCATCTCAAGAATAAGTTTAATTATTCATGTTTTTTTATATATTCACGACATGCAACATTCCAGCATGAAACAGAGTGGAAGTAGAACACGCTGGAGCGAACCATGCATGGGTACGAAACATCTCACGACCGTGTCTGTCTGTGAGTCGCACTTTAGACTGGTACCCTGACATTGGTTAACGGGCGCAAGCGCCCTGAAAAACCAACTTGTAATTCCTAGCGGCAGCGACTGGAATCAAGGGCAGAGAACCAGTGCTAGTCGCACTTCCGCTTTTTCTTTTGACGACGCAAGGCAAGCCAGACCGAATCATGCCGAAGTAAGTAACAATTTTGAGAGTATTTAGAGCAAGATAACGATACTTTTCTATTCCGGTACTTTTTTTAAAATGCTATTGTAAAAGGAAAGGAGAAAAATGCGACTGACCAGACCCGGGATCCTTTCCTTTTATTTTATATCGAAATACTATTTTCATTATTTTACATTGTAGATACTATTGTGATTACTGTGATACATACCTCACACATGACTCGGTAAGTATTTTGTTTGATAGACCTACTTCATACATATCACCTAATCTCAGCGAGATTCGTAGGGACTAAAAATTTTGGTCTGGTGTAGGGACACAAGACCAAAATTTTTAGTCCCTACAAATCTCGCTGAGATTAACATATCACCATGTTAACCACAGGCACTTGAAGCGTGGATTACACCCCCACCCCCAACTAACTAATAAAATATAAGAGTCTTCATTTTCTTGAAAATGTGTGATTTCTCCGTCAATTCTATCTATGTCATTCTGTGCAATTGGTTTGTACTTTTGTTAAGGGTTAAAAATTGGCCATATACGGTAATATGTAATGTTGACAGTGCAAACGTTAGGGCGAGTGCAGATACCTATACTCAGTTTTAAATTAGACTGGGCTCATCAAACCGCACGTGGCATTTAGTATGTCTAGACTCTGACGTCACATTACAAAATTTAAAGAATGTCTACGTCAAAACATTTTCTAGATTTGGGGAAAAAAGTAATCTCGATCGTGATAAAAAAAATGGATTATGGATGGTCCAAATTTTCTCTCGTGATAAAAAAAAATGGATTATGGATGGTCCAAATTTTCTCAGTCACAAAAATGCAAGTTGGTTTTAATTTTTAGTCGCAAAATCAATTTTTTGGTCACAAATGTGACCATTTGACCATGTGACCATGGTCGCAACTTGGAGCATGCTAAAAAAGCTATTTAGATAATTAAAGCTATATAGCTAAATAATGAGATTGTATTGGACCTGGTTAAAACGAGATGCATTTTGCCACACGTACTTGGGTCTTGGTTTATAAATACAGTGAAATATCAGTATCTCAAATTTGAAGGAACTCGGACAAAACTTAGAGATATCCAGGGTTTGAGATATCCAAAGTTGTCTTCCAATGTCGAATCGATATGTTTCCATATGTTCGTATATATATCTTTTCATGAATAACACTTGTATTACCAATCATGTAGTCTTTGTTTTTTAGACTCAAGCATATTCGCAATAAATATTTTAAGAAAAACATTGATTTTCACTTTATTGTGTAAAATCATAATATCATAAAACAATTTAATACACATGCCTTATTGCATTTATCTGAAATACAGGGACTTTGCATTTATGATTATATCCAGGCCATGCTTACATGCTCTCAAGCTTAAATAGGATGTATCATTAGCATAATAGTGGAAGAACCTTTTACGTAAGAAAAGAAAAAAGATGAATTTTCTAAAACATAAATTTTACAAAATAAAAAATAAAACTTCACCAAACACCCAAGCTGTCATACCAATGACCGTGACATACATACCCAACATGAGCTTGGGATTAATTAATATACACCAGGTTTTAGAAGGTGTTACATGTAGTAGCCACTGACAAGAATTTGTGAAGTCATGACACCAGGTGTGTTCAGTAGATGGGAAAATTCACTTCACTTCGAGATAAGGACATGGAGCCTTGAATATACTTTGATATAAGCTGAGTATTAGAGATTACTGTGTTCGAGATATCAGGAGTTTTTTAAATCATATATATAGAGAATACTGCTGGGACCAGCAATCGACTTTGACACAAGCGGGGTTTTCAAGATATCCCATGTTTGAGATACTGATATTTACCTGTATGTATACCTTATTGATATGTAAAATGAGTGAAGGTATACAAGTGGCTTGTTTACATGAAAATAACACTGCACCTAATGTTCTCTGTGCACCGTATGTCTCGGAACATTGAATTTGATTATTTATTGTAAAAACCCTCGCATCTTGCAAATAATTCCTAATATACATGATTTTTAACACATTTTCAAACTTTGCCTTTAGTGTGGGGAACCAAGTGCAAATTGTAAAACCCGATTCAAAACGACAAATTCCGGCCATTTAGATGGTTCTGTACTCTAGAGGTATTCTGAGAAATTTAAAGAGAACTTGAATAATCTCCGAACTATATTTAAATTTGACACTTTTCGATAAATTTCTACATACCACTTGAATTATCTTGCTATAAATTACTATATACCAATTATTTTTACTGAGGGTGTATTGTATCTGTCAATGGGTATTTTAAGAAGATGAGGTAGAATGTTATCTTGTTATAATTTACTGCAATATACTTTAATTTTAGCCATCGGTAAGAAAGACACATTGCAATGGCAGAAAGCACAAAGAAAATGTCAGATTGTATTATCAGAAGTGGCTAGAAGAACAAGTCCAAAAACTAGTAGATGACACGAGTAAGTGCTACAGTTCACCATAGTTGAAGAAATTGTTTGATACAACACATTTGTCATCATTGATGTATATTCAGAGGACAAAATGACATATTTTCTTTTGAAACAGCTGCAGCCTTTAAGGCAGGAAAAATTGCATCCAATCCTTTCCAGTCAAATGCTCCTGGTGGAGCCATGATACCACCTCCAGCAGGTAAATAATTAAATTGCAATAGTCTTTGATCAGAGAACTGAGTGCAACAATGACCATTTTTGCCTATTTTTTGACCACAAATCATTAAAAAATTCTACTATAACTATTATGACATTCATTAATGAGATATTTTTTTTTAACTGGGAAGCATCAGTAAGGGTTTGCCTAGACACCAGAAAATGGTTGATGCATCATTGGATGTTCACAATCAGACTTGCTTCAGATGCTGGATCTGACATAGATTTTCCAGATGAGTGACCAGGTTAAAGTTTTTAAAGAAAGTCCATAACCAAGAAACTGTAAGCCGTAATACCTGGACCAAATTTTCATGAATAATGCATCTAAGGATATTCACTACTGAGTACCAGACTTGCTTTGGATATTGGACCTCACTTTTTGTGGAAAAGTGACCAGGTTAAAAGTTTTATGAGCAAGTCTATTGTTAAGGAACTATAACTATAAGCCCTTTGGTGCCTAAACATGCACAGATGATACATCAAAGGACGCACAATCAGGCTTGCATCAGATGCTGGATTGACTTTTATTTTCTGGATGAGTGACCAGGTTAAAAGTACTGTATACAGGGTTATTTTTGCCCCGTTTTATTTTCGCCCTTTCACACTTACAAAGAATTTTGCCCAGTTTTAAATTCGCCCAGTTGCAGTTCTGTTTAAGAAATTATACTATGCTCTTTGAATTCACCCCGCGTTAAATTTGCCCAAATGTGAGTAGGGCGAAAGGGGCGAAAATAAATCGGGGGTGAAAATTTCCCTGTACACAGTATTGAAACCCCTGGCAAACGAAGTTTGAAGAGTATATTGACAAGGAATCACTTCCGTCTGCCCATGCAATCTTGTCTGAGCTATAAATTTGTAATGGAGAATGACTCGTACTGATAAACACATTCTGGGTACAAAGATTGCTTATGACCTATGGATATGTCATGATCTTGACCCAAGGTCATTTTGACAAGTTCATGATCACTGGCAGAAAAAATTGTTCATACTTGGTATAAAGATTGTTTATGACCTGAGGGTATGTCTTGACCCTGGTCCAAGGTCATTCTTGCAGGTGGAAAAAATTATTTAAAAACTTGTCATGGCTATAACTTTCTATTGGAGAGTCAATGGAAGATCAAACTTATACTCAAAGATTAATTATGACCAGAAGATATAAAATATTTTTAATTTAGGTCAGTTTGGCAAGTTCAAGGTCACAAAGTTACAAACAGGCACTTTAAAAATATGGAAGTGAGGGGTATGATTTTTGTGAGCTCACTGACAGTACCTTTAGTTGGAGCAACATGAAGTCCATTCTTAAGTTGGAGACCCTTTGATGACCGAACCTGCATGGCTGATATACACAGGGATGCACATTATCAGGCTTGCTTTGAGTGCTGAATCTGACCTACATTTTTATGGTGTTGAGCGTAGCTCAAAAGCCACACAAAGGATGTTAATTCCTGACCAGAATTTATGCAACCAAATGTGTCAGTTGATGCATCCAGAAAAGCCAATCGTAGATATCATATTTGAAAATGGGCACATTGAATAACTTGAAAAAAAGTATATCAAGTATATGTTCAACTTATTCTGTTACAAAACAAAGGTACTGTGTTTACTTTAACAATAGAAAAAAATTGGAATCACAGTATATTGATTTGTAATAGCGATGAGTCGAGTTACATGAATAGCATGAATAATTGGATTTGGAAAGGAGAACCAAGTAAAAGTAGAAAATAACCACTAAAGTTGTAAAATAATTACAAAACTATTTAACTGGGCATACTAGAAAGTTAAAATCATTGAATTTTAAAGTTCAAGCTTTACCCTCCCAATTTACCATTAAAACCGAAGAATCGATCACCATTTCATGGTTTCATAGTATACAGTATACCTAGTTGTTCATAACTCGTAGCTAAGATGCAATCACTGATTGATTAAAAATGTTGTTCATGCTAAATTTACTGAAAAAAAAGATGCTAAGACATTGACAAATAGAGTACAATGTAATATTAAAATAAATCCATCCTAGTTTTTCAATGTGAATGTATAGGGATGAGTTATTTATTCAACAACATGCAGACATCCCACTCTTGTTTAATTTCAATGTCTGGTTAATTCAGACTCCTGTCAATTGGACAATGGCCAGAAATCCCCAAACCTATAATTGCGTTATTTTGTTTACAATGTTCAATTTTATATTCGATTAAAAAAAAATGATATTGTTACACCATTGAAGCCTTCAAGCTTTTGATTCAAATGATGGAATAGATAAGTTTTTGGAGCAGATCCATTTTAAAAATAAGTGTATGTCCTACCCATACCAAAACTGCATGCATGATCCATTTATGGATGCACATTACCATAACATTTTTGCCTTACTTCTAAATAATATTTCTCCAGGTGAGCTTTGTAATCTTTTTTTACCTGTGTTTATTATTGGTTTTAGAAATACAACAGTTGAAATAAATATCATGACATCAACAATTCTGCATAAAGGTTTTCTTTAATCAATAGATTTCTGTGTTTTTGCAGCTGGTAAGCCAGGAGGACCGCCCCAGGGCCCCATGCCAATGGGTGGTCCAATGCCTGGTGGACCAATGCCTCTGATGGGACCACCAGGGGGACCAATGGGTATGATGCCAGGTAATTTATGGCTCTTATTATCTTATTATATTTTCATCACCACAGGTAAACTACAGTATGAAAGTACTGGTATGTGTGTATGTCTTAAAACAATTTTAGGATTAAAATAAACAAGCATTCTGAGAGTATTGCATTAGCAATACTAGTCCCCTACCGGTAAGTGTAATCTGGTTCCCGTTAAGAATTGAAAATGCCATAATTCCATCAGAAATCAATGAAGCGGGACGAAATGCAAACTTGATCTATAACTAATAAAGGTAAAGTCACATACCAAAAATCAGCTCAATATCTGAAAGCGTTAAGAAGAAAATTACGGAAAACCCCTAAAAATTGAAAAGGCCGTAATTCTGTCAAAAATCAATGAAGCAGAACGAAATGCAAACTTGATCTGTAATTCATCAAGGTACACTCACATACCAAAAATCAGCTCAATATCTGCAAGCGTTTAGGAAAAAAGTGCGGAAAACCAAGTGGGACAGACTGACAGAGGGACAGACAGACAGACGGACGGACAGACTCAGAGGAAACCTATAGTCCCCTCCGGTTTCACCGGTAGGGGACTAAAAAGAGGCATTACAGCAGGAAATGCTCAAATTTTAGAAAAAGAATCACCTGAATTCACCATGTTATACAGGCTTGACTGTAATTTTATGGTGTGAAAAAACATCCTCAAATGTTATATTTAGAGAAGGTAGATTTTTTAACAAAACAATTAAATTTATAGGAAATATGATACACTGTAAAATCATGAAGTTTGATTTTTCATGAGGTTGTAATTTTTATTGTTTCATGGTATGAAAGAACCCACAAATTCATGTACTCCACGAAATTTAAAAATTTCAAACTATTATTCTTCAACTGTGATATCAAATTCCAAGAACCTACATTTTTTCCGAAAAACATCAAAAAAAAAAAAAGTGCATCAAAATAAGTAATTTTATAGTACAGTAAATGATGTGGGTTTTTTTTTTATTAGTCCCCTACCGGTGAAACCGGAGGTGACTATAGGTTTCCTCTGAGTCTGTCCGTCCGTCCATCCGTCTGTCTGTCTGTCTGTCAGTCTGTCCCACTTGGTTTTCCGCACTTTTTTCCTAAACGCTTGCAGATATTGAGCTGATTTTTGGTATGTGAGTGTATCTTGATGAGTTACAGATCAAGTTTGCATTTCATTCTGCTTCATTGATTTTTGACAGAATTACGGCCTTTTCAATTTTTACAGGATTTCCGCAATTTTCTTCTAAACGCTTGTAGATATTGAGCTGATTTTTGGTATGTCGCTTTAACTTGATTAGTTATAGATCAAGTTTGCATTTCGTCCCGCTTCATTAATTTTTGACGGAATTATGGCATTTTCAGTTCTTAACGGGAACCAGATTACACTTGCCGGTAGGGGACTAGTATTGCTAATGCAATACTCTCAGAATGCTTGTTAAATATCAAAATTGCTTCTTTCATTTCTTTTGACACATCTCAAATGACACAATGTAAATAATAATTATTATCTATTGATATTGCAGTTGGAATGAGACCACCTATGGGACCTATGATGGGTCCTATGGGTCCAATGGGTCCTATGATGAGAGGACCAATGATGGGACAGCCAAGAAAACCCATGAAATGATAGTGAGGAGATCATATCACTATATGTTTGAGTGTGTGAATGTGTAAATAGTATAGCAGCATCAGAAGAGAAACTGGATGGAAATGATGGTCTGAAATGTTAGTTTCATTTATTTCCATCTCAGAGTATATATCTCAGGAAGACACTGATGGAAGACAGCAAATTGTTTTGAATATGTGTACAAAGAGGATATGTGTCATTTCCTACTGTGAGCATATGTGTCATTTCCCATTGTGTCTTGCACTTGTTCCATTTAATACTTTTCAGGAGTCATTGCAATAAAAATGTGGGAGACAAGAAACTTACACATGTACTCTGAACATTATGTTTTCTTGTGCAACAATGGTAATGATCATGTGAATTGTGTCATCCTTTTATCCAAAAAACCTCATGTATTTCTTCACCACAAAACAGTCTTAAATTTTGGTGTCTGTTTTTCACAAAGTTAATCTAAGCCATAATATCTGAAGTAAATGAGGATACAGAATTCATAAAGCCTAAATAATCATAAAAGTGACGAAATTTGCCTCTGTTCAGGCATTGTTTTACTAAAATTAAAATGTTTAAAACTGCTTAAATAGCTTTCATAAGCATTGCACATTTGAATGCTGAATTTCTCATTTGCAGGAATTTTTAAGCATACTGGAGCCGTAACGTTATGCCCTAAAAATGTCTGATGTCTGTCTGTAACCTGTCAACTTTAAGCATTAAAAAAAACTTTTTATTTTCGCTTTCTTTTTGCCCATGTTGTCAATTCACAAATTCAAAACATGACAACTGAGATGGGGGGGGGGGGTGTTAGGATGGTACAACACAGAACACAGTAGGAGATCAAACTTTAACATGGTAATATGTAGGGGAAAATCTATCATTGTAGATGTATATGGCTCCACATTATTAGGGATTTATGACATACACAGAGCAATGCCTTGGTGTAATGAATCAAGTGATAAATATGCGCTAAGGACGTTGAAAAAAGAGTTTACTTGAAATTTTTTTTTAAATTTATATATGCATCGAGAATACAATGTTAAGATATAAGGGCCTCCCGATCACGAAGCCTATGTTAACTTGAAATCTATGCCCAGATATTATTGTACCCCCCCACTTTTCTTATATCCCCTGCTTGAAAAGTGGGAGGGTATAAAGTGATCGGGATGTCCGTACGTCCGTCTGTCTGTACGTCCGTCCGTCTGTTACGCTTTGGGGTATCCATCTCTTATCCGCAACTCCTCTTTTACCACCGAATGAAATTTAATGAGACTTTCACAGAATCTTTGTTACATAGTGCCATTGTGCACCTCCTATTTTACTCTTTGATCTGACATATTTTGGGTTTGCCAGAGCAAAACATGGACACGGCCATTCTTTCTATAATATTGAAGGGTACCCATCTCTTATCCGCAACTCCTATACCACTGAATAAAATTTAATGATACTTTCACAGATGCTTTATTACATAATGCCATTGTGCACCTCCTATTTTACTTTTTGATCTGACACTTATTTCGGGTCTCCCAGAGCAAAACATGGACTTTGCCATTATAACCATATGGGAGGCGGGGGGTATCATTTAGTGAGCTCATTGCTCACAGTACCTCTAGTTTTATTTAGTGAATTCTTGGTTTCACCCACATTGAGTCGTCCGTAGACAACATTATAAGATTTGCAGTTCAGGTCTTCCCACCTTTAGGTCACAGGTACTTGTGGATAGGACCCCCCTCCCGATATTCAACCCCGGGGCTTGTTGGACATTTTTTCACAAATTATTATATTTATTGCACTTATTCATCATGTGTACGATAGGAAAAAATCGCGAAAACCCCAAAATAATCGTTTCACACAAAAAATGCCTCAGAATACATTGTATGCCACTCCGGTTTGTTTACGTTGTACCCCTGCTGGTATATCTGGGTTAAAAACATGTTTATATTTTATTTCAACCTAAAATGTCGGTTCACATTGTCTCTACATATATTTCTGTCTTAGTTCATGCTATCGGATTGACTCTGCATCTCGTAAGAATCCCACAATTAAATCCTTAAACAGCATTGCAGTCAGTGCGTTGAAAAATCCTTAGGAATTAACGCAACGGAAGTGCATAGAGAATATTTTACCCATTATGATAACACCCGAGAGAGATTATTACGTCATGCCAAATCTCTCTCGGACGTTATCGTAATAGGTGATACATTCTTGGTATACTTCCGTTGCGTTTCATGTTATCATTTAAATTACAGATGTTCAAAGGATAATACTTTTTTCTTGCATCTTTATATGTAGGACAGTCATATATGAAATGTATTTCATTTTCTACAACAGTTTTACAAAAGTGACATATACGAGATTACTTTAGGGCACAAGGCTTTGAATATCTGCCTGTTTCAATTTCCAAAGGGTGTGCAAAAATTCTCAGTTTTGTTAATTTAGAACGTGCAAGTTGATTTATTGGAAATTTCAAGTAATCTTGTAATTCAGAGTTCTTTCTAATTTGACTGTAAAATAATAATTTACCACATTTGGAGAATTCAATGTTCTGAAGTTTCAAATTAACATTTTTTATATAGAAATTTATCAAACAGCTGCTAAATGTACTATCAGCAATATCTAATGATTGAAGTTTAAGTTTCTTTTTTAATGTATCAATTAATGGAAACGTGGGTAAACCCAATCAAAGATCAGAGCATTGGACGCTACTTAATTGTTAAAACAAAATTAATCTTGGTATCATTATCATTACAGGTTACATAACATTTATCAATTCTCGAATTCATCATTCATGTCGAACAGAATAGCATGGATTGAAGCTAGCTAGTCAGGTCATTATTTGTGTAATATCCTTGCAGATTAACTGATGGACTCTAACGGTTCTAACAGTTCTATTGATAGCATAAACAATAACAATGGAAATGTTAAAACCTGTATATGTGACAGGCCCGTAGGAAGCAATTTCACTTTGAGGGGGCACAACCATACATTTCAGTTGAGGGGGCACTATCAAGTACCAAAATTCCTTGACAAGCAAAAAAAAAAAATTAGACGTTATTATTGAGGGGGCACAAGCTTATAGTAGTTATGTTTTCTATAGTATTCTATATATCGGCAAAATTATTGGGGGGGGGGCACGCCTCCCCCCCCCCCCCGATTCCTACGGCCATGTGTGAAAAACTCTGAGCTTCCTCATGAAAATAACAGTAGAATTACAGACTATGAGTTGTCGATTGCTGTGGCTTCGTGTGTGCAAGATCTTAAATGTGTACAAAAAGATCGTGATCTTTGGATGTTCTATGTAAACAGTATGGAAAGCCGAGTAAAACTTTTACACGAAGACTTTGAGATTCGAAATATCAGTGTGAAGATTTACGATATAAACCCTTTTTCTGCGGGTATTTCTAGCCCAAATGAGGATGTTATGAAAATAACGGTCAAGGGTGTCCCTTTATCCGTTGACGATGATGAAGTGATGAAAATGCTTCAAAAATTCAATCTTAGCTTTACTAGTGAGCTCAAATATGAGAAAATCCGTCACCCGGAAACCCATAAGATGACAGGAATTCTAAATGGCAATAGATTTATTTATGTGAAAGCTCTGCAGGCCGGGAATTTTCTCCCACGGACTAGCATATGCGCAGGCCTAAAATGTTTCATTTATCATTATGGACAGCCCTCAGATAAACGCACCCCTTTCTGTACCCAGTGCTGGGAAGACTAACATTTCAAAAAAGATTGTCCTAACAATCCAAGATGCAAAGTATGCAAGTTAGAAGGGCATAAGCCAGGCGACCCAGAATGTGAGCACTTTACAGAACCAAATGCCGACGTTGTTCCATTCTCTGGAGAGGCAAACTGTCTATCAAATTTCTACCCTTGCAATATAAACATCTTTGGCTTTGACCACAAATCAGCCGAACATGCATATCAATATGTAAAAGCAATGAGAAGCGGCGACATTCCACGAGCATCGGCTATCCAATCGGCAAAATCGGCTCTGGAAGCGAAGAGAATCTGCAATATGGTCACTCCTTCTCCTAGCTCTGTTACCAATCAAGTCTCCTTGATGGCTGAGATAATTGAAGCCAAAGCTGCTCAGGTTCCAACCTTTGCCGACACGCTAAAAAGCTCAAAAAAACTCTACTGTGTTCGTAGAAACGACGTATGACAATTTTTGGGCATCTGGACTTGACGCAAAACAGACAAGTCAGACTCGTTCCAAGTCGTGGCCTGGAAAAAACAACCTGGGTATGATTATTGGAGAAGTGGCTTCACGTCTACGATCTAGACCATCTGCAAGGTCTGCGTCTACATCCAGAATGCGGGGCAAAGACTCGACACAAATGGACGTTTCAGAGATGATTAAAGATCTAAAAAACACCAGGAAACCTAGCAACACAAGTAGAAAAGCACAAAAGTCGACACGTGACGATGGATAGACCAAAGTTCTATTTCCAGACACCCAAGGTATTCTTGGTTCATAGTAAACAAGTTATGTTATGTACTTGTAATCTAATCAAACTTACAGAAATATAGAGATATACTTATATAATACGAATTATTTAAAATGGATACAGTGAAATTCATTTCTGTTAATGCACGAGGCTTGAATTCAAAAGAAAAAAGAGAAAAACTTTATACCTGGATATTAGATACAAATATAGATATGTGTTTTATCCAAGAAACGCATTACATTGAGAAAAACGAATTTCAATATGATTGTAAATGGCCTGGAAAATCTGTTCATGCTTTCTCAGATTCAAATTATAGTAGAGGTGTTTCTATTTTATTGAAAAAAAATTTAAATGCTGAAATACTTGATACGCATAAGTCTAATGATGGCAGAAAACTGCTTGTTAACATCAATATTAATGGTAAAACTTTTACTTTGGTCAATGTTTATGCAGCAAACAAAGAATCAAATAGAATAGTTTTTTTAAAAAGGTTGAAAACATTTATTAATATTAATACACTTAATCAATCACATATTATTTTATGTGGGGACTTTAATTGTAATATTAATAACACAAATGATAGGAGTGTTAAAATCGTAAAAGACTGTGTAAATATCTTAAATGTTAAAGATCTATGGTTTGATAAATATATAAACCTAGATGGTTTTACATGGTGTGACGCTTCTGATACTCCCAAAAGTAGAATAGACTTTGTCTTTATAAGTGATGAACTACTAAATCAATTTAAAAATATATCAATTAGAAAGATTCCAGGAACGCATAGCAATGGAATAAGAATGTCTGATCACAGAATGTTGAAATTTGAATATAAAATGGTTGAAAATAAACGGGGGACGTGATATTGGAAAATGAATACCTCTATTTTAAGCGAGGATGATTATAAGAAAAGTATTATTCAGCTAATACGAAATACTGAAAAGCTAGATAAACCATATCTGGAAAAATGGGAAATCTTGAAACAAGATGTCAAAAATATTTCAATTAATTTCTCCATTAAACGCCAAAAAACTTTTAAACAAAACATAATGGATATAGAAAAAGAAATTTCTGAAATTGAAAATTACAACATTATTTAAGAAATATGAATAGGAAACGAGAATTAGAAACTCAATTAAGCAACCTTTATGATAAAAGGACAAAAGGGGCACAGATTCGATCAAGTGCCAAATGGGTTCAAGAAGGTGAAAAGAATACAAAATATTTTCTAGGTCTCGAAAAAAAAACATCAGATTCATAACGTTATTAATGAAATTGAAAC